AACATCTTTATAAAGCAAACGAACCCATCTAATAAAAGATGGGCCGAAATTAAATTTAGAAAGTGCCGAAAAAAGAAAACCATGATCTACACGATCAAAAGCTTTCTGACTGTCTATATTAACAAACGCACAGTCAAGCTGTTTTTGTTTGACATAGTCAATTATATTTCTAATAAAATGAAGATTATCTGAAATAGTCCGACCAGGTACAGAACAAGTCTGATCAGGACCAACTATTTCAGAAATCACCGAACTCAGCCGTCGTTGTATGACCTTAGATAAAATCTTATAGTCAATATTTAAAAGAGATATAGGACGCCAATTTTTCATAAATTGAGAGTTATTGCGGTCCTTGCACAGGAGAGTTACATAAGACAATCTCTGACTAGGACAAAGGAAACCATTATCAAAAGATGAATTATATAACTCCACCAGTACAGGACCAAATAAATCTATAAAATATAAATAAAACTCCCTTGATAAACCATCACTACCTGGGCTCCTATCACTATTCATATTTTTGAGTGAATTTTGAATTTCATTTAAAGTGATATAACCTTCACAGCTTTCTGAAACATCATTGTCTAAACCCGGTAAATCAGCTAAAAACTCATTACACAGTGTAATATCGATACTCTCCCTAGTAAATAAATCTAAATAAAAGTTACGAGCGATTTCTAATAATTTTGAATTCTCCGAATAAGTAATATTGTCCAAATCTTGTAATTGTGTAATAATTTTATCCTTACCACGTTTCGTCTCCTTCTCTAAGAAGTATTTAGTGGGTTTTTCGTTATTATCAAGATAATCAGATCTGGACCGAATCAAACACCCTCTGTCCTCAACCAAAGCAAGGGCATTTAACTCTTTTTTGATAGAATTTATCTGATCTAAATAATCGCCTCTATTATTATACTCTGCCAAAACTAATTCCGTGTAACGTCTCTCAAGATCTCTCTTACGAGAGTTTTTAAATTTAGATTTACGCTTACAGTAAGCCAATGTAAATTTCTTAATCTCTAATTTAGCATGTTCCCACCATTCATGTGTAATATTTTGATTTTGGATGAACTCTTGCCAAAAACACCTAAACTCCAAATTATAAGAGCCATCATCTAAAACAGAATTATTAAATTTCCAATAACCGGGTCCGATAGAACGCGCGTTATCTAATATAACGTTAATACCAATAAAATCATGATCTGAGAAATGACAAGGCCAAACATTGTGATTTTTGAGACAACGAGAAGCAAATCTGCTTGAAATATAAAAGCGATCAATACGCGTACTCACATTAGGTCCTCTCCATGTAGTTATAATCTTCTTAGGATGCAGGTACCGAAAAGCGTCTACCAACTCGAAATCTTGAATAATCTTTCTCATCTGTACACGCCCCTCGGTACCTGAGTCTGGATTTCCACCAATCTTATCAAGCGACGAATCCATAATAAAATTAAAATCACCTGCTAAAATAAGAAAATGGGAAGTAACACAATATTTATATAAGTAATCAAAAAAAGCTCTACGTTCAGGACAAGAAGGGCTGGATGCGTATATATTTAAAAATCTAAATTTAACTCTATTTATAGAAACATCTATATACACCATTCGACCAGAATGGTCAAAATCAAATTTAATAATTTCATAATCAAGGTTGTTATTAATTAAAATACCTACCCCATATTGGCGATTACACCCGAAGCTCCATATTGCCTTATATCCGCACATACTCTCAATTTTCATACCTTCATTCACAGATTCAACATGACTTTCTTGCACCAAACATACATCCGGATTCACACTCTTCAACTCTCTCACAAACATTCTCTTCCTATGGAGCTTCCCTATCCCATTCACATTAAGTGAAACTATCTTTAAAAAGCTCTCCATTATATTTTAATTAATAACAACCCTAAAAAGAGAAAACACAAAATTAAAAAATGAACATTGAAATATAAATATACAAACCAAGAAATACAAGCCAAGTCATTATAGAACATAACAAACTTGACTAAAAATAGAATGTATTCACTGACGGGGAATACCTGACAAGACACGCCTTGACAGACCCGATGTGTATACAACACTCGACTAACGACTGACAAGCTATACACCTGGCAGGTCGCTAGCCGGCGTGTAAAAACAAAAACAAAGCAAATTAAAGATACAGTGCTTCCTAAAGCTGAAAATAAAATATAAGTTAAACACCAAATACGAGATAAGAGGTAAAACCTCGGATAAGTCGGGGACATAGCGTGGGTCGTTAAAGGGGGTTGGTAAAAACTCGGATACGTCGGGGACATAGCGTGGGTCGTTAAAGGGGGGTGGTCAATGAGAAAAATCCAGGGGCAGTCCAAGTCGTTAGGTGTAAACTTAAGGGTTGATTTTATTTGAGTTTATCTTTTTTCTTTTCTTTTCTCCTCTTTATTTCTTTTTCATGTGCCGATGTTTCATTTGTTTCATCCTGTTTTCTTTTAGATTTTTCCCTATCATTTTCTATTTTATCCCTTTCTTCTGCCTCCACCTGTTGGGACCAAGAATCGGAAAACGCCAACTTTTCAACAAGTGCCGCTTGGGCCTCAAAACTACTCTCACCTGTCTCTTTAACTACACTTTCTGTATCTTTCTGAATCTTCTCGTCTTCCTTTGTTCTTATCTCCATTTCTTTTTCGTCGCTATTTACCTCCATCCTGTCAATTTCTTCACCTTCTCTGAAACTAAACTCGCTATTAGATTCACTCTCTTCAGTAGATGACACAGCACAATTATTTATGACAGTTTGATTGTCTCTGGCTAAAAGCCTTGCTGAATATAAGTTAGGATTTTGTAAACAAGACCCAGCAACATGACCAAGACACTTGCACTTTAAGCATAGGGGCATCCTATCTCGAGATGTAATAAGTAATTTATACGACCCGTCCTCTGATTCCACTAAGTGGGGAATGGAGGCCAACTTATCTTCTCTAACTTCCATTCTCACAACTCTTATCCCATTTTTCAAGTTCATAGCACCAGGCTCAGCAGACACAAGCTCGCCAAGAGATATAATTTTGCCATGTGGGCTGAAAATCGAATGCAGTATTTCATTCCTCAAAAACCGTGGCACCCAATGTACCCGGAACTCCACCCTCCTCTTGTCACTAGGGCAGAACTCAAAAGTAGAGCCCTTATTCTTTACACTGCCCGCAAGATCTAAAAGAGTAACGTCGTTCTTTGACGCAACAGTTAAATACCATTCCCTAAACATACCTCTTTTATCTATAGCCTCTACATTTTCTCTCGGAATAATTGTCGACACAGCCTCTAACACTCCGGACCTCCAAACCCGATCGTTACCTGTAACGAAAACACGAACTGTTCTTTCCAAGATGTCTTTATCAATATCTTCCTCAGTAATCCTGATCTTTACAGTGTATTCACTCATCCTGACGCCAAGGTAAGAAAAGAACCGCTTACCTTGGCGGAAAACTCTAAAAATAAATCGCGACTATCCCTGGCCGGGACGTTCGTAGATACTACACTTTGATCTTAGCCAAAAGGCCGAGAAGCGATGCCGAAGAAAGTTTGATTTCCGTGCTATGGTCGTGCATACCACGCTCGAGATGATTGAATTGCCCGGTCAGATTTCACTGTGTGGCTGAGGTGTTAAATATGTACATGCTGTTTATGTGCCCTCAAAGTATAGCCATTTTGAAGCATATAAATGTGGTCGGTTTCTGATCTGCATCCATGCGCGAGTGAAATATAAATTAATGATATTTCCTCTCCAACCTTGCGTCCAGCGAGCTTAACCAGGGCTGCGTGGGCAACTTTACCAGACTTATATGTACATGTACGTATATTGTACGTTTTGTTGAACTTCCGACCCTGTCTCAAGAAAAAAAAAAAAAACCAAGAAAAGAAAGAGAGGGATAGGGAGAGGAGAGGGGAGGCGAGGTGGTGGTGTGGTGTGGTGTGGTGTGGCGGGGGAGGAGGGGGCGGGGTGGATAGTAGAATAGAAGGAGGATAATATGACACCAAGAAAAGTTCAAGTCAACAAATTTTGTTTTGTTTTGTGTACGTGATGTTTGTCGAATGCACGAAATACAGAGCATAATAATATTTATACGTGTGTGTGGGATGGTTTTATTTCTTTTTGTACGAGGAATTGGTCAATTTCACTCTTTTCAAATTTTAACAAGGGGTGGGCCACGCCTGGAGATACTGCAATACCAGGGCAACCCGTGATGAGGGCGGAGCAAGCCCCGACACCTCATCTCGGTCCAAAAATCAGTTTAATATCGAAGTACCCCATTGGGGTACGTATCAGATATTAAGCTGATAAGAACAGATACTACACTTTGATCTTAGCCAAAAGGCCGAGAAGCGATGCCGAAGAAAGTTTGATTTCCGTGCTATGGTCGTGCATACCACGCTCGAGATGATTGAATTGCCCGGTCAGATTTCACTGTGTGGCTGAGGTGTTAAATATGTACATGCTGTTTATGTGCCCTCAAAGTATAGCCATTTTGAAGCATATAAATGTGGTCGGTTTCTGATCTGCATCCATGCGCGAGTGAAATATAAATTAATGATATTTCCTCTCCAACCTTGCGTCCAGCGAGCTTAACCAGGGCTGCGTGGGCAACTTTACCAGACTTATATGTACATGTACGTATATTGTACGTTTTGTTGAACTTCCGACCCTGTCTCAAGAAAAAAAAAAAAACCAAGAAAAGAAAGAGAGGGATAGGGAGAGGAGAGGGGAGGCGAGGTGGTGGTGTGGTGTGGTGTGGTGTGGTGTGGCGGGGGAGGAGGGGGCGGGGTGGATAGTAGAATAGAAGGAGGATTATATGACACCAAGAAAAGTTCAAGTCAACAAATTTTGTTTTGTTTTGTGTACGTGATGTTTGTCGAATGCACGAAATACAGAGCATAATAATATTTATACGTGTGTGTGGGATGGTTGTATTTCTTTTTGTACGGGGAATTGGTCAATTTCACTCTTTTCAAATTTTAACAAGGGGTGGGCCACGCCTGGAGATACTGCAATACCAGGGCAACCCGTGATGAGGGCGGAGCAAGCCCCGACACCTCATTTCGGTCAAAAAATCAGTTTAATATCGAAGTACCCCATTGGGGTACGTATCAGATATTAAGCTGATAAGAACAGATACTACACTTTTTTTTTTTTTTTTTTTTTAATAAATTTTATTTTCTCAATGCCTTTACAAGGCAACTCTGTGCAGACGCCCCATAATGGACAAAATGAAAATATATACAATAAAGGATGGTTAACGATATGGGGCGTGAGAAAATAATGATAGAATTTGGAAAAAAAATAAAACAGTAAAAAAGGTTTTTTTAGTCTGGACCAGAAACCAGAGGAGAAAAAAATTAATCAAAAATAAGCACAGAGTTGCCGGAAACATAAAATATAATATACATGCAAAATAAACAAACATATATACATAACAAAATCCAACTTGGAAATATGCATTAAGTATATAAACATGCAACAGTATAAACCTAAAAACTATATAATATTGGAAAAAAAGATATTATCATAAACAATCTGAAAAAACATGCAATCAACAGGTCATCCCGAGACCTACAAGATGAAATATTTAAACATGCACATGCCTATAAAAGGATAATCATACATACAAAAATGAAAATATATGTATATAGGTTTATATATACACAAAAAAACAACAAAAATACATGTATATAGTCTTATATATACATAATAAACTTATATACTCTATAGGACAGAAATTAAAACAATGTACATGCAAACATTTACTTAACTTAAAATTTATGGTACATCATTACAGTACATCATATCTATAAAATAAAAATAAATTATATTATATCATGTATTATAATATTATACAATACTAAACCCTTCTTTTAACAAAATAAAACTATAATAACGTAGAGCTTTTACTTCCCACCGCAGACGATTTTAAAAACCAAACACAAAACCAAAATACAGTTGAACAAAACGCAGAAATGTGTAATGGGAGACAACTCCATTTGAAAAAAACATACCAAAAAGACAACTCTTTGGAGAAATTTAAAAGTTAAACACTAGCTTCTCTCTGTCAATGTCGCAAAACATGCCAGAGACAAGCCAGTAATGATAAAAATTCATAGCTGATAATCTAGATTTATCAACAGTAATTCGAAATCTTAACTTTTCAATAAATTGAGAAATGATTGCTTGAGAAGTTACTGACTTTGACCTGAAACGTGCATCATTTCTATTACCCCATATTACTTGTTTTGCCAAATTAACTAAAACTAGTATGACTTCAAGCTGAAATTTAGAAAGTTTCGGGAAATTTAGATATCGAATAAGCTTGAAATCTAATTTAATTTTACCTAACGTCAGTATATTAACCATATTTCGAATTACTCCCCAGAGAGGATGAACTTTATCACAATAATAAAATATATGCTCTACAGTCTCAACCTGGTCACAGAAGGCACACTTTTTTTCAAGAGTGTGTCTTCTACAAAATAAAGTCCACATAGTGGGAACAATATCATGGACCAGGCGCCATGCTAAACTACGTGCTTGGGGATCAACAAAACTGTTATTTACGTTACGCCAAACTAGATTAAAATCTATTTGCGGTAGATTCCTGACAACCGCCAATTCTGTAAAAATAGAAGTTAGTAATAAATCATAAAATTGTTTAGTTGTACACTCGCCATGCCAAACAAAATCTGGGTACAACTCTGAAAATGTTTCGACAGCAGTCAAACAGCCCTTATAAAATGTCGGAATAACTTGGCCATGGGGAACGGAATTTGACGCTAAACTGGAATCTAAATTTTTCAAACTATGACCAAGCCAATACTTTGCAAAGTAGTTCCACTTGACGTTTTTACTATTTATAATATTATGTACATGCTTGAGTCGTAGAGCTAAAATCTTATAATATATATGTACAACAGATAAACCACCATATCGACGATCATGGAATAAGATCTGACGCTTGAGTGGCTCAAACTTCTTCGTCCCCCAAATAAATTTAAACATTGAAGAATTAAAACGTTTGAGATACCCAGCCGGCAGATCTACGATCGTACTCACATACCACAATTTAGAACAGGCTAAAACTTTAACAATGTTAGCGCGTCCAAATATGGACATATCTCTTTTTTCATAAGTAAATAACACGCGTTGAAAGTTATTACAAATTTTGCTCCAATTATCGTCGGCAGTAATATCATGCCCGAAACGAACACCTAGAATTTTCTGAGACTCGACCCAACTAACGCCAAACTGTTGAGTCGAGTTTTTTAATTTGCCAAAAGCTAAAACCATTGGCTTCGTCTTATTTAAACGTGCACCAGAACCTTTTCCATACTTTTCATATGTTGCAAGTAAATGCTCCACACTACTCAGATTAGAACAAATTCCAGTAACATCGTCTGCGTAAGCCGTTGCCTTAGCGTCCTCTATACACCCGGGAATTTTAATTCCCCTGATATGTAAGTCTTTACGGATTCGTATGAGAAACGGCTCCAATACAAGTACGTACAACAAGGGAGATAATGAACATCCCTGTCGTACTGAACGAGTAACTGGAAACATCTCTGATACGAAACCGTTAACAATAACTGAGCTATTAACATCTTTATAAAGCAAACGAACCCATCTAATAAAAGATGGGCCGAAATTAAATTTAGAAAGTGCCGAAAAAAGAAAACCATGATCTACACGATCAAAAGCTTTCTGACTGTCTATATTAACAAACGCACAGTCAAGCTGTTTTTGTTTGACATAGTCAATTATATTTCTAATAAAATGAAGATTATCTGAAATAGTCCGACCAGGTACAGAACAAGTCTGATCAGGACCAACTATTTCAGAAATCACCGAACTCAGCCGTCGTTGTATGACCTTAGATAAAATCTTATAGTCAATATTTAAAAGAGATATAGGACGCCAATTTTTCATAAATTGAGAGTTATTGCGGTCCTTGCACAGGAGAGTTATATAAGACAATCTCTGACTAGGACAAAGGAAACCATTATCAAAAGATGAATTATATAACTCCACCAGTACAGGACCAAATAAATCTATAAAATATAAATAAAACTCCCTTGATAAACCATCACTACCTGGGCTCCTATCACTATTCATATTTTTGAGTGAATTTTGAATTTCATTTAAAGTGATATAACCTTCACAGCTTTCTGAAACATCATTGTCTAAACCCGGTAAATCAGCTAAAAACTCATTACACAGTGTAATATCGATACTCTCCCTAGTAAATAAATCTAAATAAAAGTTACGAGCGATTTCTAATAATTTTGAATTCTCCGAATAAGTAATATTGTCCAAATCTTGTAATTGTGTAATAATTTTATCCTTACCACGTTTCGTCTCCTTCTCTAAGAAGTATTTAGTGGGTTTTTCGTTATTATCAAGATAATCAGATCTGGACCGAATCAAACACCCTCTGTCCTCAACCAAAGCAAGGGCATTTAACTCTTTTTTGATAGAATTTATCTGATCTAAATAATCGCCTCTATTATTATACTCTGCCAAAACTAATTCCGTGTAACGTCTCTCAAGATCTCTCTTACGAGAGTTTTTAAATTTAGATTTACGCTTACAGTAAGCCAATGTAAATTTCTTAATCTCTAATTTAGCATGTTCCCACCATTCATGTGTAATATTTTGATTTTGGATGAACTCTTGCCAAAAACACCTAAACTCCAAATTATAGGAGCCATCATCTAAAACAGAATTATTAAATTTCCAATAACCGGGTCCGATAGAACGCGCGTTATCTAATATAACGTTAATACCAATAAAATCATGATCTGAGAAATGACAAGGCCAAACATTGTGATTTTTGAGACAACGAGAAGCAAATCTGCTTGAAATATAAAAGCGATCAATACGCGTACTCACATTAGGTCCTCTCCATGTAGTTATAATCTTCTTAGGATGCAGGTACCGAAAAGCGTCTACCAACTCGAAATCTTGAATAATCTTTCTTATCTGTACACGCCCCTCGGTACCTGAGTCTGGATTTCCACCAATCTTATCAAGCGACGAATCCATAATAAAATTAAAATCACCTGCTAAAATAAGAAAATGGGAAGTAACACAATATTTATATAAGTAATCAAAAAAAGCTCTACGTTCAGGACAAGAAGGGCTGGATGCGTATATATTTAAAAATCTAAATTTAACTCTATAGAAACATCTATATACACCATTCGACCAGAATGGTCAAAATCAAATTTAATAATTTCATAATCAAGGTTGTTATTAATTAAAATACCTACCCCATATTGGCGATTACACCCGAAGCTCTATATTGCCTTATATCCGCACATACTCTCAATTTTCATACCTTCATTCACAGATTCAACATGACTTTCTTGCACCAAACATACATCCGGATTCACACTCTTCAACTCTCTCACAAACATTCTCTTCCTATGGAGCTTCCCTATCCCATTCACATTAAGTGAAACTATCTTTAAAAAGCTCTCCATTGTATTTTAATTAATAACAACCCTAAAAAGAGAAAACACAAAATTAAAAAATGAACATTGAAATATAAATATACAAACCAAGAAATACAAGCCAAGTCATTATAGAACATAACAAACTTGACTAAAAATAGAATGTATTCACTGACGGGGAATACCTGACAAGACACGCCTTGACAGACCCGATGTGTATACAACACTCGACTAACGACTAACAAGCTATACACCTGGCAGGTCGCTAGCCGGCGTGTAAAAACAAAAACAAAGCAAATTAAAGATACAGTGCTTCCTAAAGCTGAAAATAAAATATAAGTTAAACACCAAATACGAGATAAGAGGTAAAACCTCGGATAAGTCGGGGACATAGCGTGGGTCGTTAAAGGGGGTTGGTAAAAACTCGGATACGTCGGGGACATAGCGTGGGTCGTTAAAGGGGGGTGGTCAATGAGAAAAATCCAGGGGCAGTCCAAGTCGTTAGGTGTAAAATTAAGGGTTGAAATTATTTGAGTTTATCTTTTTTCTTTTCTTTTCTCCTCTTTATTTCTTTTTCATGTGCCGATGTTTCATTTGTTTCATCCTGTTTTCTTTTAGATTTTTCCCTATCATTTTCTATTTTATCCCTTTCCTCTGCCTCCACCTGTTGGGACCAAGAATCGGAAAACGCCAACTTTTCAACAAGTGCCGCTT